ATTCCTTTTCTTTACAGTAATTTAAATACCTCTAGCAAGCTTCAAGGGCATACAAAATACAACAGGGAATAAAACCTGGGTCCACCCTTAGTCTGTCTCTAGCCACTATAGCAAGGTAGCCGTACAAAACAAGTATGAGTGGGGCACGATTCCCTTCAGTATGTTCTTTTATCTTCTCTTCAGAAGATAGACCTTCTCTATGGAGGAAGTAATAACACATCATTACACATTTGTCCCAAGCATTTCTTGTAAGGGATTTTGTATTTTCAGTTTTAATACTGGGTAATCTCATTTCATCTGTGGCAGAAATGTAAGGAGGAGAAACCATCATGATTCTTGAAGTCAATCTATTGGAGAAAAAAGTATTCCCCTAAGATGTATCTAATCTCCTTGTTTGACTTTTTATCAATGCTTCTACTCCAAAGATATTTTCTAACTTACAAATGTGTTTTTCCTCTGCTTATTTGCTACTGTTGGGTTTTAGAATAATATCTGTTAACTCATTTGTAAAGTAGATGTTCTTCCTTTCATCAGTCTCTGAGCAGAACTTAAGTTCAAGTGTTAGCATTTTGGTTTCCATTGCTGTTAATCACATTTGAAAACTAAGTATCTTTAAAAGAAAATCAAATTAAATGCACAGATTACAAATGTAACCTTTTAAAACATGTTTTCTCAAAATGTTTTTGCCAGCTATAAGCAAGTGATCAAGATAAAAGTTACTAAAAGATTCCACTACTTTGCTGGATATATAATTTGCTTATAATTTAAGAGAGAATACACTTTTTAAATGGCAGTGGATTCCTTTGCAAAATAAGACATGTAACATGCACAAACTTTTAAATTTTGTGACTCCCAAAAATCAAGAAACAGACAAGAAAAAATAGAAGTACTAGGTTTTAAAATTAAACCTGGATATTCAGCTTTTTATCCACTAGGCAACCCCCTTTCATGACACAGTTGAAGCTCCAAATATTATTCTCATTACAAATCAGCTTTCAATTATAAAGCTAGCTATTCTCATTCAATTTTTGTACATAAAACTTCATAATGGAGAGCATAACTTCATATGTTGTTTTTCATTTTTCATACATGGAAAGGCATAATGTGTAATTACTGAAAAAGTATGTTTACATAATTATGAAAAGTACTGTCATCTCATTACCACTTGCTGGCCCCCGTGTAGCAAATCTGCACCCTGGTAGCATATCCTAGAATTAAGAGTCTAAGGAATTAAGAATTAAGTGGTGAGAAAAGATGAAATTCACAACCTTATTGAAAAACTGAAAGTTAATAAATATCTATCCCCCAGATGGCATCCATCCCAGAATACTTAAAGAGCTCAAATATGAAATTGCTGACCTTCTTACAAAATTATATAATATTCTCCTAAGGTCATCCTCTGTACTAGAAGACTGAAGAAAAATACCAACTTCTAAAAAGGGATCTGGAAAGGAACAGGGTCAAGGAAATTTAAAGCTGGTTAACTTAATGTCCTATCTGATTAAACATTGAAACGTCTAGAAGTGAATAAACATGTGAACATGGCAATCCAGTAGATACTTTTTATGTAGATTTCCAAAAGGCTTTTGACAAAGGCCCTTACTAACGTTTCCTAAACAGAGTTAGAGTCGTGGTGGCCTCCTTATGGATCAGTAACTGATTAAAATTGGAAAATGGAGAGAGGGAATACTTATATTCTTCCAATGGAGGGACAAAACATTGGGCTCTCACAGGGTTCTGTATTAGTTCCACTATTCATAAATGGTCTGGAATTAGGTTTGAGCAATCAAGTGTCCCACATTTGATGATGATTATTTGGGGTGATTTAAAGTAAAAAGTGATTGTGAGAAGTTTTAAAGGGTTCTCTCCAAGCTAGGAGAATGGGCATCAAAATGGCAAATGCAGTTTAGTTTAATCAACTATAAAGTAATGCACACTCTGGCAAAAAAAAAACCCCAACAAAAATCCCAACCCCACCAACTTCAAGTATAAGCTGATGAAATCTGAAACAAATATTTGTAGTGGCTTCATTTAAAACATTGTGTACAGTCCTGAGCCCCACACCTGAAAAGAATATTACAGAGTTGGAAGTAGTTCATAGGAGAGCAACTAAAATGATCAAGGATTGGAGCAGTTTGTTTATGAGGAATGTTTACATCAGCTAAGGTTATTCTTCATAGTTTCTGGGTTTCACACAAAAGGAGTCTGTGCTTGCATGGAGCCTGTCATGGGGAGAGGAGGATTCTTCAGTTAAGCATTAGTTTGGGTGGGAGCCTCTCCCCTTCTTGTTCCCTGCATCCCTGGCAGGTCTGCCCGTTCTCTCAGTTCCTTTCCTTACAAAAAGGTAACTAATAGGAGACATAATAGAGGCTTTTGAAACTTAGGCCTGATGTGGAGAAAGAGAAAGAGAGATTTTTCTCCCTTTCCCATAATATGAGAACTCAGGGTCACCCTATGATTGGCTGGAGATTTAGAACAGAGAAAAAGTTCTTCATATAGCACATAATTAAGCTGTAGAATTCACTTCCATGACAAATAACGATGGCCACCAGTTCTGACTTTAAAAGGCGATTGGACAATTTTATGGAGGAGAAAGCTATCAGTGGCCACTAGTCTTGTTGGCTAACTGTTCCCCCCAGTAAAACGATGTATACTAGTTGTGACAAATTCAGGCTGGAAGGGACTGTGGTACTCACATCTTGCTTGAAGGAACCTGTGGGAAGCTAGTTTGCCATTGTGAGAATGGAGTGCTGGACTAGATGGACGAATGGTTTGATGTAGCATGGCCTGCATTATGTTTTTAAAATATATGCAAAGGTGCTATAATCATGGATTGCTAATCTGAATAAAATAATGCATGGATGTTATTACCATATTTTTCCAGATAATGATTTGCTAGAAGGCATAATACAGATTTAGAAAAGCTAGCATATCAATAATATTAATCAATAATGAAACCAGAACAAAGGTATTAGAGGGCTTTGCTGTAAAAGCAAGAAGAAAATATTGAAATATTGAATGTGCCGGTGAAACTTAAACATGAACATGATGCTCTGTATGGCGACACATGCCAGAGAATGATTAACTCGTTTTTATTGAACCAGCAGGGGAAAGGAAAACATAACATAGAAGTGTCTTTTGGTATTTAAATATTGTTCCTTCCTATGACATAGCTACACAAAATATCTATGAAATTCATGTAAATGTCTCATTAGAATAATATGCATATATTTCATATTAATTTTAAATGCTTCTGCATATGACATTTTTATAGCAGGATGCAGAACCTGTGACTTTCCAAATTAGGCTAGACTACAAACCCCATCATCTCTGACAATTGGTTTTGTTGTTTGGGACTGATGAGAGTCTAACAAGATCTGGAGGGCTGCTGTGGGTTCTTCATTCCTGATTTATACCATGCCTTTAGTAGCTCTTATGTGACCAGATTTTGTTCTGCTTTCCAACTCAAACAGCCATATTTTTCCTTTTATGGTTTTAATATATTGGCAATTTCTAGCAAAGGCAGGAATGTACAGCACTATGGTGAAATATGTGATCTTCTACAGCCATCAGAACATACTTAATTTACTATAGTGCATTTTGTAAACATTTTTAATAGGCTACATACAGACTTCAAATAATGAAGATCTAGTTTTAGACTTGAAATCCTGATAATAAGCATTGGCAAATTCATAACAACATTGTGAATGAACAAATATGTTGACAGTGGGTTGTGTGTGCATATGTTGTACTTCAAGCTGACAAAGCCTAGCACTATGAATTGCTATTTTGATATAAGTTAGCTATAGAGCTGCAATAGAACATGTACCAAAGCATAAGTGCTTGGCAGTAGGTTCACCAGCATGTCCTGAAAGTCACTGCACGTGTCAAAATTATTACTCTTAAAGACAGAAGAGTAATTTCAAACTGCAGAAAATGTTTTCCTTTGCAGACTTGGGGGAGCATCAGAGTGAGGAAGTTTTTCCTGTTTAAACTTGCATTGTTTATATCTGAGGTATCTGTGCGCCAGTTTTGGGCCCAGTCTTCTACTAGCACAGATGCAGCTAATAGAGCTGCTGGGTTCCGCAGCCTTTACTGCAGCACAACTGCAAATATCCCATTTCCATCTAGTATAATACTATGTCAGCGGCACAAGCCTGTACAAGCATCTGTAACTTCCTTGTTTTCATGAGGGGATTGTGCTCCTGCTGGTGCTCTCTGAGAACTACAGTGTCTAAACAAATACAATGGACTCTCTGTTAACTGGAACTCAAGCAACTGGTACTCACAAACAACCAGCAAAAAAATAATCTTAAAAACTGTTTATGCCTTTTAAATGATACATAATTTTTCCCTCCAATAACTGCTGTTCCAGGTCCAGGATCTGTAATAGTTCAATGCTGAGCAGTGTGGATGAATGTGTTTAATCCTCTTTCGCAATTCTCAAACCTTTCATTTCTCATTTGGTCATAATCTATGAAGATTGTATCAACTTTTCTTATTTTTTTCTGTTGTAGCTATTTGATGGTAAAGACTACTGATTTCTGCATGAACCTGCTTGAAATTCTACTTAGCACATTAAAGCAAATAATTCCTGTTCTGTAATAATCTTGTGGCCCATACAACAACAATGGAACCTGGAGATGATGTAAACACAGAACAGTTTAGAAAATACATGTAGCAGTAGAGCCATGAGCACTGGCATAAATTACATTGTACTAGCATAAGTAAATGCATTCTAACACAGTGCAAATAGCATTAACTGATGCAGTGGGATTCCCTAGAAAACCCATCATGTGAGCTAATGCTATTGGCATTGTGCTAGAGGTCTGATGCAATATAATTTGCATTACTGCTTATGTCTTACCGGATGCTTTCTGTATTTCCTAATTTTCTGTTTGCTGTATTTGGAGGAAATAGTGATTTCCATATAGAAGGATATTAATTTGTTGCTGTTAGGTAAAGATAGTCATAATATGTATTTTTTTTCTCTTTTCAAGCACACTGATTTATGTCAGTACATGGACAAACATCCAGGAGGACTTCATCCAGACAATGTGAAGGTAGGACATCAGTCCTTAAATCAATGTTATGTTATTAGCGTTATCTTTGAGAGAAACAGCAAAATATACTATGTAATCTGGCCTTTCAAAGACCAAAAATAATCTTGGGCTCACAAAAATTATTTTATTTTTAATTGTGTGTGTTGCTACTTGTAAGCTGAATCTTAATAAACAATGTAAAATATAGTTTTCTTCATTTGAATATGAGAAGCAGATAGGCTCAGGCTACCTACTGGGAAATAATCATATTGTTTCATCTTGAAGTGGAATCCAATAAGTTATGCAGCATGTTTCTTTGAGACTGCCCAGATAGTGTTTTAATAGATTTCTTGTTCCTTAATGTTCTTTAACCATAAAAGCATCAGGAGTGCTATATAACACTTGACATATGCTACAATTTTTTATGTGTGAATGTAATTTTAGTTTATCCATGTTAAGCTCTTATGTTGCAATTTCGAAGGTGTTTAAGCATTCATTATAAGGAACTATTAATTAAAATAAGAATAAATAAATTACTTTAAAATAGTTATGTTGCATTTTATGTATGTTTTATATGCCAGTTTCATAGTAAACATGCCTATTTATTTTTGTATAAAAGTAAACATCATGTTTTCATTTGGGCCAGTACTGAACATGTAGGAAGAAAAAAATTCTTTATTAGTAGCCTAGTTTCATGGGGACACCTCTGTTCTAATTAGTAATCCATTTTTACTTCACATTTTCCATCCGAAAGTAATGGATTCCCTTAGGGCTTACTTGCAGAAAAATAATTGCAGATGAAATTTCCTTCTGACATATTTTCATCACAGTTCTGTTAAGGCCATGTATTAACTGAAATGATTTTGAATTTTAATAACTTGCTTACTCTTTGCATACCAATCAAATAATATTCAAAACAGGCAGTTTAATAAGGAAAAGTACCCTGTACTTGCATAATATAAAACTATTAAGGTATTTCTTGGCAGTGCATGTTTGAAACAATACCAAAATCATACCTACACTGCTATATTGTACCATATATTAAATATTAAAGGCCAAGACCTTTTTATTTAAACAATATTTTAACAACTTTTGATATTATCTGTTGGTTTTAATTTTACACCCAGGGTGAATCTGGATTTTATGTGCACTATTTATATGGTTTGTTTATTTATTGTATGGAAGCCGTCCCGAGGCTCATGTGAATGGGACGGCATACAAAAACTCCAAATAAATAAATATATAAATTCCAGCTCTGAAAATTTAGAGGAAGTAGCAATTCAATATGATAGCCTAGTTAAGATATAATTGGAAAGCATGTCTTCCTAGTCTGTGAATGCAGCATAATGAAACTTTGACATAAGCACTTTTCCATGTCTTGGTGCACTAGAGGAGCAGAATGAAAATACCCACACCATGTTCCTTTGAGGTATGAAGTTAAAAAATTCTGGCTTAACAAGTTAGGATCAAAACCATGGTTTGATCCTGGCTTTTTATCCCAATTAATAGTTTAAACAAACTACAGTTCTACAAGTTAGGATGTCATAGGGACTGTGGAAAAGCTTCCAGTATTCTCATGCACAAAAGAAGGGATTGAAAGGCAATACATGGTTTCCTGTAAGGTCTGAATGAGTCTACTGTGTATCTAAGTAGATACTAATATTTTATCAGTATCTTCATACTAATTGACACCAATATTTTTATTAGTGATTTTATATAATTCTCCCAGAATCTACTTTCAAAATCAGAAGCACAGTTACATCAGAAATGAAGCTTGGGACACCTTTGTGCAAGTAGTTCAAAATGTGCAGAAGAGGAGAGTGTGTGTGTGTATGTGTGTGCGCGCGCACGTGTGTGAAAACTTCAAGAAAATGTCAAGAAACTGATATTTACAGAGTTGAATACTCAGGTTGGAAATTAGAAACCAGAGTAAAAAGCCTTTGGGTATTTGTCATCTTTCCCTTTTTCCTCTGGCTGTCCAATATGCCATTCTGAGTGGCACATAAAACATGAGACATGTATTGAAGATTCTAAACCACAGATACTTTCCTGCTTCATCAGCAAGTGCAGGTGCACTTACTTAAGGCCACATAATTATGTTGGCATGCTAATATCTTCATTTCCATTTGGGTGACTTTTAAAGGTAAAAAGCCTTTACTACTTGGGCAAGGAAATCAGCAGAAGGCCACAGTCAACAGAGAATCCTTTTGAGGGGTGTCAGCTCCCCCCTTGAATTAGGAAAGATCTTATTGTGCACACACATTTTGGTTAGATAGTTAAAAAATGTGAAGCTTGCAGCTAAGAATCGACTAGGTAGTTCAAATGGGAAATGGTGTTTTGGCCCTTTTCATTTGGCTTGCCATAATAAATAGGTACACTGACATAAAAATAGAATAACATACTAGCAAAAGAATAATGGTAATGGTGCAAACTCTACAGAATTAAATGGCTGCAGTGATCCTTCTAAAGGACTGAAAGAAACGGTCAGCTATTCCTGAAGAGAGTTGTACAGAAAGTGCAAGATAGCTGCAAATTGTATATGTCAGTCTAATCTCTGATGGTCCAGGATATGGAACAGAAGATTCATTTGACTTGAAGAGATAGGCAAGTTGATAAAGGGCAGCAGTCTGATCCTTGCATGTCCCCGTAGAAGTATCTTCTGCCACCTAATGCTTACATTGTCAGTCTCTACAGTCCTGAGTGTTGTGTGTCACAAGTAGACAGCATAAGCCTTATGTGAATATGACAAGATAATTCAAACAGTCAAGATGAACTGCTTGCTACAGGGGAGGTTTCTGGAATGTATGTGGACTTGGGGTAGCAGGCATTAGTTTCTAAAACAAAAAGGATGATTGTTGTCATAAAAGTGTGGGTAGAATTTTAAAAATTAGCATTCATTTGGTGCTTGCTATTGACTTTTTTGCAGCACATATTTTCTGTCAAGAACATTATCCCATAACTAATGCTTACATTTCCTATCTGTTTTTGAAATATGGATAATTTCAGAAGTTAATGATCAATTTGGAAATTAACCAGAGTTAAAGCCTTGGGGTATTTGTCATCTTATAAATATTTATACCTTAAAGGCATAAGTAATTATATTTGAAATTACCCCAAAGCAATGAGGTGTTGGAAAGTGCTCAGAACATGGGAGTATTTCATTAACATTTATTATGCATCTTTTCTCATTTAAGTGAAAAGAAGCTGTTAAATATTTGAAGTATGTCTCTAGAAATAAACAAGAAATATAATATATTTTTCCTAGCTATAGTTTTTACAATAAATCTTGCTATTCAGATGCTGAATGGAAAGTTTATTAGCATACCTGCTTGTCTTACTGTAAAAGCAACAAACATATTTAAATCAGAGAACATCTTCCTGAAATTCCTGATATATATTGTTTATCCTTTGAAAAGATATTTGACACATGGTATCAAGATATATACTGCCGAGCATATTTCAGTAGAACTGAATAATGTAAATATAATTCTACTAGTTTTCCAATGCATGTACAAAAATGACATTATATATGTTTCATTTTCTACATCATAGTACATGGGTATAAATACATTTTATTCTATACTTATGTCCAGCTTAATACTATACCTCCTGTTTTCTTAGACTGATTTATAGAATATGATCAATTTTCATGTACGTGGGTTAAAGTGTTACACTGGAATGAGCAATCCATACAGCTTTTTCAGTCTTCCATCAATGGGCAGGACTCAGGAGAATTTTTTTCTCAGCAGGTTTTTTTCAGAAATGTTAGACATGTTAAGTTTCTATGTGGAAATGTCCATATGAACACTTTACAATCTACATGGAACTCTGTGTCCTGTAAGGAATACTTCTGAAATATCTGCCATTGTCACAAAAGTTGATGACAGTCATGTAGGGCTCCAATTTTCCCTTAGTTACACAGATATGCTAATCAGGATTATTTGCCCTTTAATGTAAGTTGATAAGTTGCAGTTTTCCATTGCTCTTCAGAAGACGAGCAGGTGCAGAGAAGGGTAGGATGATGTTATGCTAAATTAAGGTTGTTTCTTTCAGATGGCATTGGTAATTGATTTTTAAATAAGTCTTTTTGGTGATTAGACATTGAATATGTTATCCAGATTTTACCCTACTTATTTTATCTCCTCTAGTTAGACAGTAATGAATTAAAATATGCATAAACATGATAATTAAACAAAACTATTCTCTCACACTATTACACAGTATGTACTTCATGAACCATCCTTTTGGTATTCTGAACCTGCTGAAATGTATACTCAGTCTTTTCTTAACTAGGCTTGTATCAGTCAAGATGTCATTTTCAATACACAGGATTTTTAAAAGAATTAAAATAGGGAATAGCACATACAGTCCTAGAAATCTTAAGCAGGTTTGAAAGAGTCATTGATTATGAAGAAGTGTAGAAGAAGCTTTTAAGCTTGATTGTAGAAAAGTTCCTTACTTAAATTAGTTGCTAAGATTAACAGCACAGTAACAGGTTAGGGCACTGTATTCAGCCAATTCAGAATACTCTGTTATCATGACCAGTAGCTTCAAAAACTATCAAAGTAACAGCAAAGATTTTAAAACATCAAAGAAATATGCAGTATATTTAGTGCTTTAGGATCCATTTTTGTAATTGAGATGGTATAGGAGCATACATTTGGATCTTTGGAAAGACTTTTGTGTCATGGTCCCATTGTTGGAAGCTTATGTATGAAAATGCCCTTAAAGGAATTCCAGGAGGCTGAGCTTTTTTGTAGAAGCAGTATGACCCCTGTCACTCAACCTGTGAGAGTACAGTTCTGATAAGAGTAGGAAAAGCGGACAGCTCCTACTAATCATTCCTGGAAGCACACTGGAGCAGCCCTTACTGAAATGAAACTGCTCATGATATGAAGCATTATGCGGACTTGACACCATTCTCCCATTCTAGTAAAATTCCCTGGGATAGTAGGGGAAGGAGTGGATCAGCAACCCAAAATGAGCCCAGTTGCCTGTAAGTCCCACTGTGGATCATTTGACCAAAAACCAACCTGCCACAGCTTACTGCAGAGTGGGATGGCATGATATACTGACATGTCCATGGCCATTGTGACTAGTAGCCACTGATAGCTGTTTAAATTAATGTCCATCACCACATATTATGAAACTCCTGTGCAGAAGTACTTCATTTTATTTGTTCTGAATCTTATTTATTTCTCAGTGGATTGACAAAAAAGCAGCCTGTCCTAAGTGATGCATTGGGATACAACACCAGCTTGTTAAAACAGAACTTGCTGCAGATGCCATTCTCCAGTGGGAAGGATAGGAAGCCCTTTCACATGGAGGAAAAGTGATCTTCTTGAATTTGTGAGCCCTTGCATACCTTTCAGAGAGGGAAAGGAATGCAGATTATTTAGCACTGGAAATTATTCCCTCACCATTTTTTCTTATCTCAAAGGTTAGAGATCGCTGCCATTTTGCCCTTGCTGCATTCTAGCCCTGTGCCTTATAAGGAAAAGAAGAAAATTCCTTGCTCCGACGAAGTACGAGCTCAAAGCTTCCCTCCTTTCCCTTTCCTATTTACCTGATATTTTTTTCCAACTTATGCACAGTCATTAATCATGGATTAGCCCTGTGCATCATGAGAGGAATGAATGAAAAGAGGTGGTTGCATTTTCTGAAAATGGCGGAAGCAGAGTTGTCATTCTTCTCCATATAATACTGCAATTGAGTTAGGAAAGCTGTGGGTCTCCATGTAAAACTCTTGAGGACCTCTGAAGCAGTATCAAAAGGGGTTGCTCCTTCCCACTGTGAGGCAAATGACCCTTCCTCCAGCAGGATCCCTGCAGCTGTTTCCATCATCTCACCCTGCACATTATGAAGGAAAAGGGGCCCTGTTTTATTAGGAGGGGGAAAGTCAGAAAGAAGCCATCTTTCTTTCAGATATGTCCCCCAGAAAAAACAAATACAATATGTGGCTCTAGGCCTCATGAGGAAATGAAATTGGTGAATGTGGCTACTTTGTAAGCAATTCTTGTGTACCCAGTCAACAAAATAAAGTGGGAAGGGGAAAGGAAGGAAATTTTAAATTATTTCCTGTGACAGAACTAAAATAATATGCTGCCAAAACCTATATTCCCATATCACATCCTCATTTACTGTCACCTTTAATTATGAACTAATTAGAAACACCAAGAATGGGATTCAGAGGCTGCTGAAAACTCTGTTAGAGCATTTCATTTCATTTCATTTCATTTCATTTCATTTCTGTACTGTTCAAAGTTCACAAGAAATAAGACTAAAAGTACAATATAAGAAAATATTATATATAATACTGAACTTACAAAAATAAAAAATTAACAATACAATATTGCTGATAAAACAGCTGACACAAGCAAATGTTTCCATCTGTCTGCAATGTGTAATCTGAGGAGAGAGTGGAAAGAATCTAGTTCTTTCTGAGAGAGCTGATGTGTCTTTATTGAAGAAATTGCTGGTTTTAATGTGTTTGCCCTTACATTTTAATCATTGCTAACACATTGATATCACAGTCCATAAACCTTTAAATTGGTTTGACCTTCATATAGTACCATCCCCCCAAGACTCATTATTGCAAAGCAGTACCTCTGTTAAAGTGCAGTTGTCAAGGCAAAGCAGCAAAAGCATTTTCCCCCCTGTGGCTATCAAATGCAGTTTTCCAAACATTTAGTTCAGATGGATTCAGAGGACTTAAGTCCTTGAAAGAGAGCAAAAGAGCGAATATAAAGCTAAAGCAATACAATTATCTGAATATGTTTCTATTACCAGCATTTTTGACAAGATGACATTGATGTAATGCTTTCTGAAACTTTCAGAAAGCTTCAAAGTGACCACTTTACTTCACACCCATATGGTTGGTATGGTGTTAATTCCTTAAAACACCAGGCTGTATTTGTTTTTTGCTAACATCAAGATTTGTAATAAGTAGTAAAGGCAAGTTTTTGTATCCTTAATACATAACTCCCCTATCCTCCTTCAGATAGTGAGGAATAGTAGAGGTCACTTTATGAAGCGGCTCTCATGGAGCCCACTTATCTCACCCCACACTACCCAAAACCCATTTAGAGATAGAGATTCTACTTTACATGCTTAGCTTTGGGAAAGACAGTGGACACTTTTTTGTCTATCAATAGGGAAATGGTTATACTTCATTACCCTCTTCTCAAAGAACTTATTAGCTGTGTTTCCTCTGCCTTCTGATATCTGTTTCAAATGTGATTAATTTCCTATATGGAATCAATTAATGAAGAAAAAAATAAATTGCATGTAGACGTGTAGGGTCACTAAACATATTTTACTGTGTGTACGTGCAGCATACATTACCATGAAGCTATATCCAGTCAAAGTTTCCACAAATTAGGAAATCTGCAGTGAAAGACATGTATACAGTAATGTCAAATGTACATGATTTTGATGCTTTTTGCAAGATGAAAGTTCTGTCCATGTAGGAAGTTGCCACCAATTATATTTGAAGTGGCCCTTGACTTTATGTAGAGATAATCCAAAAGGCTTTTGTAAGTGTAGCATTGGAAATGGGAAAGGGCAGCAACAAAAGGATAAGATTAAGATCTTTGGGTACTGAAGGCCAAGGGCTGATAGTTAATAAGGAAAGTGTTTCTTTTCCCTGCCACAGGATGCTTCCCCTTGTTTTTACTGTTGCATGAGCAGAGAAAGCGGCTAGTTCTTCTTTGTGGTCTCTGTGCATCACACATATGGACTCTGTGCCTGTGTGGGGCCTGTTGTCAGGAGTATTTCCAAGCTAGATTTATTCTGGTGGGAACCCCTTGGTGTATCTAGGAGAGGTTCCTACCCCTTTCTTCAACTGTCTTCCAACCACCATTGTGGGTGCCTTGGTACTTTCCTTTATTGATATCTGTGCTGCTTCTACTTATTTTCTTTTGGATGCAGTGTTGGCTAGTGCAACTGACAGATGTCTCTCCACTTGTCTTCCTGCTTGGGAAGCCATAGGTGGATACGTTCCATGCAGTCTCTGCATGTGGTAACACCACATCCTTGCAAGAGAGGTAGCTACACTGATATAAAAAAGAGCTATGTGCTCTACTCCCAGTGTCAAAGAAGGACAGTGGCTTCCACCCAATCCTTGACCTCAGAGATGTCAGCTTCTTCATTCCACCAAAGAAGTTCTGAATGGTTTCTTTACAAAACATTCTACCGTTGCTGCATAAGGAGACCAGTTTGGCTTGATTAACTAGAAGTATTTCATGTCATGATCCACAAGGTCTACAGTATGACAGGTACAGCACCTCCTTGAGCTCATGGCGGTAACAGTTGTGGTCGTCTCATTTGTCAGGCTTTGACTGTGTCTGCTTCAGCTGTGGCTTGTAGATGCATACGAACCTCAGCATGATTCGGATTGGAATGAGTATGAGAGTGTGGATTCAGTAATCCCTGGTCAGGAACTGCAAGAACTTTGTGTCTGTTGTCTGGCTGGAAGGTTTTCAGAAAAGTATTTTTATATAACAAAAGTATTTTTATATAACAGAAAATCAGTTTTGTGCTATCTTTTCAAAGTAGCTTGTGTTCAAAATGCCATCTGAAGGGCAGAGACAAGGTGTTACCTTATTTCCTTTTAATGTATTTACTTTATTCATTGCCCTTGTTTTTCCTCAGTACCACGGAGACATTGAAAGGAGCCCCCGTGTCTGTCTGTCCCTCTCCCCCTCCCCCCTCTCCCCTCCCTCGCCCCTCTCCCCCTCCGTGTGTGTGCACACAGAGGAAAAAGGAAATTTAATTAAACCTCTTTGGCTTCACTAGCATGACATTTCTGTACTTTCATGTCATGTTTATTTTCTTCCATAATCAGATTTCACAATTTCATACAGGTGCTGGACTGGTAGCTAATTAGGGACTATTTCATGTTGGCATATTGATTCTGAGAATTCTAATGATCTAATATTTCTGCACAAACAAGAGGGCATCACTGTTTGCAAATAGCTCAACTGCTGAGTTAACTACAATTTCTCACATTGCTTCTATCTCTTCTATTTCTTTACTATTTACAGTATTTATATCTAGTAACAATAATGTTTAGTAATGCTTTTAAAAAAAGTAACATTAAAACTCTTGCTGGTGAGTAGGAACTGAAAACAGGACAGCACTGCTGCCTGCCTGACCTCCCAAGGCGGGGAAATCCATATTATGTTATATAATGCATTAAAATTTTGCTTGCCTAGGAATAATAATGTTACAACTGTTTTACAGGAAATTTATTACTGTCTTGGTGACTGGCATGCTGAAGTAACTCTTGTGAAATAATAGCATTTTACCAGCATGCAAGAGTGATATTCATAGTCTTTTTGACAAGTGCCTCTCATATGATTCTTGAATTTTAGTACGTTATAAAAGCACACAATGAGTTTCTTGTTAAAAATATTAGACTATATCTAATATCATAGCCTGCCTGTCTTGAAAAGTATTTTACAAATAAAAAGCCTGCTTGGGTTAGATATTTAGGCTCTTTTTCTTGTATAAAGTATTCAAAAATAATAATTTTGGTTTATTTATTGCATTTTTTCCAATTTTGCGTGCTGCTTGGTTTTTTCTTTGCCTTGGCACTGTGTTTGTGCACTCCTCTCTCTTAATATGCTGTTATTTCCTATAATTAGCAAAGATATACAACTGACTTCTATCCACCCTTTAATCTCTATGAGCAAGCAGAATATAACTGTGGCATCATAGGGATTCACTGTACTGTTTGTAACTATTGTGAATTGTTAAAAGCAGGTAAATGCAGTTGGGTACAGTGAATAAAATGTTGCATCTTTTCCTACATATTCATAATTGTTCAAAGAATCTCATTTTTTAAATTATGCCTGTGGATTGCAAGGAACTGTTTAACCCGTATGCAGATGCCCTGCTTTTTGTGTTAGGAAGCCAATAGAGTACATATAAGTATTAATAAAGATAATGTTTTCCCCTCTTTTTCAGTTATTTTTATTTCAATTGCTGCGAGGACTTTCGTACATCCACCAGCGTTACATTTTGCACAGGGACCTGAAACCCCAAAACCTTCTGATCAGTGACACTGGGGAGTTGAAGCTGGCAGATTTTGGTAGGAAAGCAATTAATTACAGGATTTATTTTATCATGATGTGGGAAATGTCAAGAGATTGTCTAAGCAACTTTCATTTTAGTCACAAGTTGTCTGTGGCCACCGTAATGGTAGATACAATGGAGCAGGTACAAAGTAAACACTTAATATAGTAAATGATAAAGGAAATTTGAAAGACAGAAAACTGTCCACATTTAATCCACCTCAGTACTGGGAAGAATGTTTGAATATGTAGTTGGAAACATCCTAGTTATGTCCATGGTATTTAAACTAAGAAAATATGTTATAGCAGATAGGTATAACCTTTTTTGTAAAGGTATGGGATGTGGGTTATAGTAATCTCTCTCAATATCCATTACACTGAGAAAACAACAAAACATTTCAAGTATATAGACAATGGTACTTTGCTATCTCTGGTGGCTATTTTCCAGTAATAGTATATTCATGCTGTCAATAGTGTGCTGGTTTTTTCTGTCTTTTAAATTGTGTTTAATGAAAACAAGAAAATTTGTAATTCGACTGGTATAAAGATTGTTATCACATACAAATACAAATGTAAATATAGGTGATTGATTTTATTTACGTGTAGTTAGGATGCCAATAAGAAATCTAGGTTTTCTTACTGAAAAGGCTTACCTTTTCTTTGCAGTAGATATGACCAAGATCTTTCAGTCCCCGAGGAGATCTTCAGATTTCCAAAAGTCAACAGAACAACCCCTGTTTTTAATTCAGGGTCAAGCACACTTCATCTCTGGCATTCTTAACTTCCTCTGGGCTAACAAATCAAGTACACAGAGTTTAGCACTTTTGGAAAATTGTTTTTCTTGGATAAACATGCTAGGGGGGAAAAGTGTTCATGATTACTGGAATGTTTTATTGCATATGGATTTTTGAGTGTGGATAATAACCTGCTCTTCCTTTAGTTTTTGAAAGTAAAAGAACAAGGCGTAACTGTTTTTATCATGATGATTTGTCTGCAGCAAATTAAAAAGAGTTTATGAAGAGGGATCTAGCATTCAAAAGCAATGAGACAGGGACTGGATTTTTAATAAAATTAAAAAATGCTAAAACACAAGTTTTTAGAGCAATGTTTGGTATAGACATCCGAAACAAATGCTACTAAACAAAGTCGGCTAAGACACAGCCACCTCCTGATAAAGTTTCTAGAGAGGAATGTGAAGAAGGTGACGTTGCCACCCTGCTGTTTTTCATTGCAGTTATCTCAGCAGATTAAGTGGTTTGAGTAGTAGCAGCTGATACAGGATTCTATCAGAACTCTCCAGGGATACATCAGTTCTATTAATGTTTGTCTTAAATTGATGGAGTAAAAAATTAATACACTGGAATATCAGGTGACACCTCACAAGACATAAATTGTAGCTTTTCAGAGTATAAAATCTTGTGCTGGTATTCTGGAAATTTTTTCTCCAAGAGGTAATTTGTATGTCCTTAGACTTCAGGTGCAGTCTACACAGCCTACTCAGATCCATTTGGCAGTTTATGAATCATGTTTATGCATGAGTTACTGGTATTGCCACTGGATTTTTAACTTGATATTAAGCAGGCTTATGTTCCCATTTCCATGCTAGTGTCTAGAGTAAGCCCTGTTAATTTTCAGTTTCTTCTTTAGCTTCTGCTTTAGAACATTTGTTCTGTTCAGTCAGACAGAGAAGGGAGCTTCAGTGGGTTCTGCCATCAATGAGATCATGCTTTATCTGGATTACCCAAGGAGGTTTCAGATTGAGAAGATAATCGCCTAATGTGAGAATCTTGGCATGATAGTTTTGTTTGCACTATCATGATCAATACCCAGCAATATTTTGAACCAACTATCAGAATCATCAAAGAAATAATCCTCTCTCATGACAGCAGGGTCATTTCTCAACAGATTCCTTATACTTTCTACTCCCTTTGCTGCTTTTACTGTAGGAGTTGAATTTGGCTTTTGGTTGTCAGCTATTAGTATCTGTTTAAGCAGTTAAAGTTCAGAACATTTGGCCACTGCTCTTTTTGATCCATTTTATCCTCTCTCCTATTTTTCTCTTTTCCTTCAATTTTCCCTGACACACACACACACTTTCATATATTTCTTATATTTACTTAATATAGGTTATGGGCACAATCCTCCTAGCATTTTCAGGAGGGATGCTTAAGATTGCTTAGCTCCAAGATCTTGCAACTGGAGAGTTGGGACTCTGAAACTGAGTCCTCCATCTACGGGGTGGAAAGAACTTTGTCCACAGCCTTTTTTGGAGATCAAAAAATTGGCTAAAGGGCATGCTGGGATTAGGGAGGAGAGGAGGCTGGGGATAAAACTTTATATTATGTTTAGATGGTATCCTACCTTCCTTCTTTCTCCCTTTCCATTGACACCATTTCATCTTGATAGCTGCAAATGGTGTTGAATGAATTGCAAGGTATGAGAGATTGTTGCTACTGCACCCTCATGACTTGGATTGGATATACGTAAGCTTCTGTGTTTTGAGGTTTACATGCATTGAGCACAGACAGCATTGGATTTCATCCTAAATGTACTTAATACACAGGCAGCATGGAAAATAAATAAAACAGCTTTACGACAGATTAAAATACTTTCTAAAATGCCGACTTTTGGGTTAGTACATGTATTTAATAACTGAATAGAGGCCATTCTCCTTAGCCACGCTCTTTACTGGGGTACATCATCATCATCATCATCTTGCAATATAGTTTATAGGGCGGGGGTTTAATGCCATTTTCATGACATTCTTGTGACCTTTTCTGAAGAGTCAAATGGTATAAGACTTACATTACAGGCTGAACTGGGTTTGGTGGATGCTTGTATTCTACCTTTCCATCATAATTACTTTTGATTACTTTTGATTATATTTTGTTTTCTACAAAGTGAATAAAAACCTGGACTTAAAACTATAAAAAATGCTCAAATATTTTACTCTCCAGAAATGCGGTCTATATGGCACTCTTTCTACAATATGTTAGTGGACTTGTATACTTAAGCATTCTACTGGGCAGGGGTGTAGTTCGATTTGGCTTTTTTTGTCATGATGTAATATTGATTTTATCAGTCTGTGGGTGCATATTTGTGAGTGAAGTGAGCCAAATCATGAAGGCAGTTTACATTTTCCATTGTTTCATTAGATTAATAACTCACTTGGCAGTATTTCTTTCTTGGGCCTGACAAATCCCAGTTACTCCTCCTCTAGACAGGTCAAGCAGAGGCACAACAGCTTGTCATGCTGATAAAATTCCAATGAAATGAAAACAGATGAGAATGAAAGATATGGAAGCTCTAGAAACTGGGCTAGCATTTTGGAGCATGCATTACCGTCAAATACAGATGCCTGCTGTGTAGGTGCTGCTTGAAATTGGTACTTTATTATCTTTTGCAAGAGTCAGTTTTATGTTCTCATTATTTTAGGCCTTGACTACAAGCTCGGTAGCAGCTTGTGGCTGCAAATAATGTAGAAGTATTTATAAAACTTCATTATAAAATCCATATGTGGATCATGCACTGAACCCATTGCTGGTCTAGCTGCAATGGCTAGAAGGGATCTGTCTTGGCATGATTTCACAGCTAATTTTAAACTCAGCACTTGAGAAAAAGTTCTACAAGTTGCACATTGTGCTCTTTTCCTTTAGTCTTGCAAATTAAGATATGTTAGTAGCCCTGGTTTGATAGGTTTGATTGAATCCAATCCTAGACCAAACTAATAAATTATAAACTGATGATAAATTTAAACCATTTTAATTGGTTTAAACCATTTAAATTGGCAGTAGATTGGTTTCTGCACAATCTACTGCCAATTTTCTGGATACAAGTATGTCCCTCTCCTGCAGTTCCTGAGGGTATGACAACAGATAGATTCTGGTCCATGGGAGAAACCATTTTAATATTTCAAATATTTATTTATTATATAATTTAAAATATTTATTTATATTTAAATATATTTAAGCTTTTCTTAAAGAAAAACTGTGTCCCAGTGTTCTACAACAAATTTCCATGGCATGTACAAATCTTACAAACTGCTCATTGACTAAAAGGAGTTTTGGAATGCTTAAGAATTATTGTCCCAGTGAAAAAGATAAAATGAATTTCTGGAAAGATTTATGAGCTGAATCACTAATGTGTGATTTTATTACATTAATAAAAACAAATATATGAAGGTATATGGTCAGTAGTGAGGATTAATGGACTCTGAAAAAAAACAGTTCCATAGAGGTAGGGTGATCCTGTATCCCCAGTGATATTCGTCTTTGCAGTAGAGCTGGTGGTGGCTACAGTAAGAGAAAATATTAATATGATTATAATAAGTATAAAAATAAACAATATAAAATGAATTTTTATATGGACAATACATTTCTTTTTCTTTAAAATCCAATTAAAAGTATAGAAAAAGTATATTTAAAACAAATATTGAAAGATTTTAATTGCTGCACAGAATTAAAAATGTGTCAAATATAAGTTAATATGTATAATATCACTTTAGAAGAACAAAAAAAAATTACAATATCCAATGTAGATAATGTACAATAGTTTTAAATATTTAGGAATTACGATAACAGAAATACTAATCAATTTATAAAGATTATAAGAAAGTTTTCAGTTTCATAAAGGAAAAATTTCATAAAGAAAAAAATCAAATGGGATAAATTAAATGTATCTTAATTGGATAAGCATGTGATAATAAATGCTAATATATTACCATTTTTAAATTTCTCTCTCAAAATATAGCTCTATATTTAGATGATTAAAAAATTCCAGCATAATTTTTTTTAAAGTTTATAGTTGTGCTTAAAAAAAAAAGTTTAAGATTTATAAACACTGTACAATATAGACCAGTTCCAAAATGAGGATTGGCAGTACCAAAGTTAATAAAATATTATGAGGATTTTAAGATACTTCATACTCTTAAAATGAATAATGGACTGACTGGATTCTGATAGAAGAATCTAATATACTAATTTTGCTCTCACATTGGTTTTTACCAAAACCTTATTTA